GAGTTAACACTGTACGCAATACCCGCAACCTCACACCAAATTTCAGGCCGTGTAGATAGGCAAGCATAGCCTATATACAAATCATTTAGTAAGCAGAAATCCGAAATTTACCTTAACATATTAAGTTAGAGGAAGATGTGACGGAATTGATGCTTGAAGAATGCGCTTCCAGCAGCCATGATAAACATTTGATTTGACGAAAGTCACTAGACCTATTACTATCTATCCAATCACGTTGATGGATAAAAATAAAATTAAAATAAGCATGTAACGACCACAAACGGAGGAAAATAGCGGAGCAAAAGTACCGATACATCACTTAAAATGTACTCAAGTAAAAGTACACAATTTTTAAACTACTCAAAAAAGTACAATTACTGATAAAAACTACTTAATTACTGTAACGTGAGTATTTGTAATTCTTTACTTCACACCCCTGATTATACTCTACTGGTCAAAAGTTTGGAATAATTAGGATTTTGAAAGAAGTCTTTTGTGGTTAACAAGGCAGTACTTAAAATGTTTCAATACTGATAACTGATGAAATTATTGATTAGAACCATTATATATATATAAATATACAGTGGGTACGGAAAGTATTCAGACCCCCTTAAATTTTTCACTCTTTGTTATATTGCAACCATTTGCTAAAATCATTTAAGTTAATTTTTTTTCCTCATTAATATACACACAGCACCCCATATTGACAGAAAAACACAGAATTGTTGACATTTTTGCAGATTTATTAAAAAAGAAAAATGAGAATTTATTATCTCTATCCTTTGATAGCCTCAAGCAAATCTGACAGGTGAGTCAAGGAGAGAGAGCATCTATTCTACACCAGACTGGCATTGCGAAACTGACATATTTTTTGTAATCTGCCATGTCAGGGAGTTAACTGATGTGTTAGGTTTGGAACCAAACCTCTACAATGGTTCTGTGTCACTTAGATCTGTTTGATCGGTGCTTTTGTGATAAGCAGCTACAGTGAGTCACAGCACAGTAATTTTCACCACAAATATTAAAGCAATACCAGGTAAAGAAACAAGATTTTAAAAGCATTACTGTCTAACCAAAGACATTAAGGTCAATGATGGCAGCTACTATGGATTTTTAACATTTGCTGAAACCAACAGCTGTAAGTGTTAATAAGGGTGGTAGCAGATATAAATTATCTTTTCAGCACTAACAGTTTGATTTTTACACTGAAAGTGCAAAAGTTTGTGCAACCATACCAAGAGCAGGTTCAGTCTGTACGTCTGAGTAGGCACTAACAAAGTCCTCAACAGCATCAGGCAGAAAAAGACTGGGCTGGATGAAGGTGAGGAGGGAATAGACTTCTTGCAAGTTATTCTGAATGGGGGTGCCAGTCAACAGCACTCGGAAACCTACTGTAAACTGAGAAGGCAGATGTCAGATGGCAGTTAATAGCAGGGGAAAGCTGAAAAATAGACAGGCAAGGCTAGGTTTATTATCAGGGGTTTTACAGATTGACAGTGACTGTAAAAACAATGAAAATGCAATCGTGTAACCTCTTTGAGGGTTTGGTGCAGCAATGATTCCTGGTTCTTCAGCCGGTGAGCCTCATCGACAACTAAAATCTTCCATTTCCAACTGTGGGAAGAGAGTGGAGGGGTAAAGTTAAATATGAATTGAAATATGCAGTCACCGACACCAATAAACTGATAATTATTATTATGTTATATGGCTGATAAATGGAAGATATTAAAATTCTACACTATTTTGTCTAAATAAATTAAAAATACAACACACACATACACACAAAACACTCAAACCAAACTTTTAAAGGCTTCAAAATTAGTTTTAAAGATTAGATGACCGCAAAGTTGCCTGCAAAACCAAGGAGGGTCAAGTGTGTTTATTGCAGATTTAAAATGTTAAAAGATCATCTACAGGAGGGGTTCTCAAAGTCTATATTGAAAGGTCCAAATCTGAATTTTCATCAGTGTCAAACAGTGACCGGAACAATCGGTTATTACAAAACTTAAAAATTGCATAACAAATAAACACTAATTTGTTGAAAAAATAAAGTGCCCTTTGCATTCAAAATACATCAATAACAAGTGCAAAAGTGGCAAAACAATTAATTTAAGTGTCAGCAATAGAGATCGACCGATAAGGGTTTTTCTCTGGCTGATGCCGATATTTAGAAATCAGCGCATCCAATGGCGCTGATTTTTTTTGGGTGAACTTCAGAAAACACAGTGGACCAAAGTCCTCTTTTCAGATGAAAGTAAATTTAGCATTTCATTTGGAAATCAAGGTCCCAGAGTCTGGAGGAAGAGTGGAGAGGCACAGAAACTATGTTGCTTGAAGTCCAGTGTGAAGTTTCCACAGTCAGTGACGATTCGGGCTGCCATGTCATCTGCTGGTGTTGGTCCACTGTGTTTTCTGAAGTCCACAGTCAACACAGCCATCTACCAGGAAATTTTAGAGCACTTCATGCTTCCTTCTGCTCACAAGCTTTATGGAGATGCTGATTTCATTTTCCAGCAGGACTTGGCACCTGCCCACACGCATTCTAATTTATTGAGATACACCTGTATGTATAGATTTTATTTTAGGCAAGTTGTGTTGATTTGAGAAGACTAAACTGATCAAACATATGATCCACTCATTGTCTGCCGCTGGCCGATTGGTCGTTACTTTAAAAAAAAAGAAAACTTGAATTTAACAAACAAAAAATGTTCCAAACATGTTTCTAAATTAACTTAATAAAGAAACGAAAAGAAATATAGCCACTTTGCCATTAAAAACCAAAACTGAACTATTTTAATGGCTGCAACAGCAGCTGTGTAATGGGGAAGAGAGAGAGAAAAAGGACATGGGCTCCAGTCGGACTCGGGCCGGGCCCGTGCAGGACTCTATTCGTTCCTTCGTTTCAATTAAAAGTTCCCCCTCGGCTCGGCAGGCCACCAATCTGCCCGGGCTCATATGCACCTGCATACCCTGCATACCCAGATGCTACGCCCCTGAGCGGTAAAATGTGGCCCGATTATGTCAAGCATCATACGCTCACTGGATGTCATGACAACAAATGCCATGAAGGAACAGTTTGAATATCTCGCCTGCGCTTTCATTTCGGACCATCTCCAAAAATACATTTAAAAAATAAAATAAAAAATGATTTACAATTTTAACGTGCGTTTATCAAAGTAAGAAATATAATTAGAGCTCTTGAAATATGAAATGTAGGCGGGTCCAGACTGATCTATAGTGTAAATTACAAAACAATTTTTTAAAATAACACATTACAAAAGAACAAGTTAGCTGATAAAACTACTCTTTATTTACAGTGTTATGTTTATATACAGAAGAAAAAAAAGAAAAGCATAAAACAAAAAATTTCTCAAAACTACAAGTGAATTTAGGTATAACAACGATATCTATAATGCACAGTATGAAAAATATAGATATTCATTTTGCAATTTGCTAAATGTTACATTTAACAATGATACTAAATTATTACTTCACAGTAATCAAAATTAGAGAACGGTAACCACTGTAGCATGAAAGATGATTACAACTAAAATCTTGGAGGGTTACAGTTGTCAGAAATTAGTAGGAATTGTAGAGGCTCCTGCTTTGAATGACTTCAGCACATCTGCGGCCACAGGACACCACTATTTTCTCAGACAGTGCTGGTGTGATCTTGGTCCACTCTTCTTCCACAGTTTGGTAACTGTAGTGGGTTTCTGAGCCATAACTTTGTTGATTTTCCAGAGATTTTTATTTGGGTTTAGATCTCTGGGCTGACCACTTCATCATTTCAGTGTTCTTAGCTTCAAGGAACTGTTTTATCCGTTTTGCAGTGTGACGGCGCATTGTCTTGCATGAAAATTGCAGGCTGATCGGAAGATGCTTGCAGGGAACGTACTGCATGTTGCTGAAAGAGGGTTCTGATAAACATTTGCATTCACCCTGCCATGTAGCTGTATAAGAGACTCAACTTCTGCTGCAGAAAACATCCCCCAAAGCATGACACTTCCTCCTCCACCTTTCACGGACTCAGTCTTTCACTGATTCAGTCTTTCCCCGAGTTTGACGCCGAACATAATGTTTCCCATCAGACCCAAATAAATTAAACTTTCTAAAGTGAACTTTGGACCAGTTCTCCTCTGTCCACACAACATGCTTCTCAGCAGAGGTTAGTATAGCCTTTTGATTCTTTTTGCTGATGAGAGGCTTCGTCACTTCAGAGTGCGTTTTCAGTCCAACTGCTCTTAAACATGCCGAGACAGATTCTTACCCTGTTGAGCACTGAACTGGAATGGTGCCAGTTAAGTAGGGTTTGTCATATAATGAAGGAAATTAGCACCAGGTGCCAGATTAAAGTGACAAAGTGACGGTACATGTGGCCAAGTATGGTGACCCATACTCGGAATTAGTGCTCTGCATTTACCCATCCAAAGTGCACACACACACAGCAGTGAACACACACACCGTGAACACACACCTGGAGCAGTGGGCAGCCATTTTTATGCTGCGGCGCCTTGCTCAAGGGCACCTCAGTCGTGGTATTAAAGGTGGGAGAGAGCGCTGTACATTCACTCCCCCCACCTACAATCCCTGCTGGTACGAGACTCGAACCCACAACCTTTGGGTTATGAGTTCGACTCTCTAACCATTAGGCCACGACTTCCCCATTAACACCAATAACTAATATCTGTAAGTGTTCTCTAATCTTAAATACAGCTCTTTTTCAAATATGTCATTTACATTTTTTTACACTGTGCTTCAGAATACAATTAATTTATAAAATATGCTTAAGAAACGTCTCCGGTTCCCCGAGAGACGGGAACAAGACATGGCATCAGAAGCTGACGGTTTTGGGGACTCCTTTCCTTCCTAAACCTACCTGAAATCTTATTGCACAACGCCAGTGAAGTTGCAGCTCTCACTGGCCAATGCCAACCAAGACGGCAAATAGGGGCTGAGCTCCGTTGCTATATATTGAGCTGTCTTGGCGGCATAAGCCCAGAATCTTCCGACTGAATCAACAGCACAGCAGACCTGAGGAGTGAACATGGCAGCACGTCCAAATTGTAGAATCTGGTAAAGGTATTCTGCGAAGACCATCCAGCCGCCATACAAATGTCTTTGATAGAAACACCCTTAGTTCATGCCCACGAGAAGGCTATTGCCCTCATCGAATGGGCTCTGACACCAATAGGACATTCCATACCCCGGATAGAATAGACCAAGGCAATCGCATCTACCACCCAATGTGATAGTTGTTGTTTGGAGACCGGCTGCCCCTTGGTGCTGCCTCCAAAGCACACAAACAGCTGCTCAGATTGCAGAAACTGAGCCATGCGGTCGACGTAAACTCGCAGAGCCCACACCGGACATAGTACCTGATGAGGGGCGGCATCCGATGAGGACGCTGACTCTGGAGTGAAAGCAGAAAGCGTCACCACTTGCACTCTGAACAGTGTCGAGAGCGATTTAGGCACGTAGTCCAATCTTGGCTTGAGCATAACGTTACAATCACCTGGTTCAAACTGCATGCAGTCAGCATTTACAGAAAACACTTGTAAATCCCCCACACACTTGACCGAAGCAAGGGCGAGCAACAGTGCGGTTTTAGGCGATAGCTCTCTCAGTCCGACAGACAGAAGCAGCTCGAAGGGCGGAAGGGGCTCGCACCTCCGTAATCGTGTCCATCACGTGGCGAGACAATGAGTCCGAGTTTACCGGTTCCCGCACACCATCCACACATGAAGTTTCCACCATTCGGGGTTGGGGTGCCATATCAGGCCGCCCGCCTGAGATAGGAGGTCCCATCTCAGCGGGATCAGCCACGGGGGAGCCGTTAATATCTTCAGCAGATCGGGAAACCAAGGCCTGTTTGGCCAGTACGGAGCGATTAATAACACCGACACTCTCTCTGATTTTGTGCAGCACCTGTGACACAATCTTCAAGGGGGGAAATGCATACAGGTGGGCCTTCGGCCACGGCATCGTGAGTCCTTGCCCAGGGGTGAGCGTGGCAGAGAGAAGAACAGTGGGCAATGTGTGTTCTCCTCTGTCACGAATAAATCCCCCTCTGCCTTCCCGAACCGTTCCCATATCAGTCTCACTGTCCTGGGGTTCAGTCTCCATTCTCCGTGAGGAATCCCATCCCTCGATAGCCCCACAGTAAAAGGCGTGCTGCCTGATCGTAAAGGGCTCTCGAGTCTACACCGCCCTGGCGGTTTATGTATGATAACCACTGACATCTTGTCCGTGCGAATCAACACGTGATCCTCCCGGACTTGTGTGATGAGCCAAAAAGACCTCTCTCAGTTCGAGGCGATTTATGTGCCACTTTTTCTTCGACTCCGTCCAGTAGCTCAATGCCGGTACGCCGTCGCAATGAGCTCCCCAGCCCGTCGTCGACGCGTCCGTCGTGACCACTTTCCGCCACATGACCAGACCCAGCTGGGCGCCTTGTTGGTACAGGTCGGGGTTTCACCATGGTTTCAGTGCGTTTAAGCACCTGCGAGTGACCACAACGCGGGCACGGGCCGTTTTCCAAGCCCTTCTCGGTACCTGTGTTTTCAGCTATATCTGGAAGGGGGGGGATATAGAGCAAACCGAGGTGGCACACCGACACGGCGACCGCCATCCGTCCCAAGAGCCTCTGATATTCCTTCAGTGCCACAGTACATCCTAGACTGAAAGTATTCAGAGCGGACATTAAATCTTGTATGCGCTCCTGACCCAGACGCGCCCTCATCGGGACCAAGTTTAATAGCACCCCCAGACATGTCAATGACTGGCTGGGGCATAACGTGCTCTTTTGTATGTTCACACAGAGACCTAAAATCTCCAGATGAAGTAACAGTGTGCGTTTGTGGCTGTTGAGCACATCCTCGGAATGGGCCAAAACCAGCCAATCGTCCAAATAATTCAAGATGCGCATTCCGCTCACTCTCAGAGGGGAAAGCGCCACATCCACACATTTTGTAAATGTGCGTGGCGCCAGCCTTAAAGGCCTCGGGATCCGCTCCACCCTCGTCCAGAAATTTCTTGGAGCACCGCCATTGTGTGAAGCACTGAGATTGCGTCCCCTGAGGAGGCGTGCGCCTTGTCCACGATGTGAGCTGTCAGACGGCCTCATTGGAAGCGAAGCACCTGCCTTCAGAGAGGCAGACGAGGGACAGAGGTGCACTGCGATGGATTCCTTGATGGGCGGAATGTGCATATATCCACGGGCTTCTGCCCCGTCGACTTTGGTGAATATCTCCGACCCGCCGGCATGGGTGCAAGCTGACTGGGGCGCAGCCCATGCCTTAGCGACCTCATTGTGCAGGTCGGGGAGAAATGGGGCTCGCTTCCTCAGAGCGGCAGCTCGAGTGGAGGAACCACGACTCCAGCTTGCTCTTAGCTGGTTCGCGTCCCCTGAGGAGGCGTGCGCCTTGTCCACGATGTGAGCTGTCAGACGGCCTCATTGGAAGCGAAGCACCTGCCTTCAGAGAGGCAGACGAGGGACAGAGGTGCACTGCGATGGATTCCTTGATGGGCGGAATGTGCATATATCCACGGGCTTCTGCCCCGTCGACTTTGGTGAATGTCTCCGACCCGCCGGCATGGGTGCAAGCCGACTGGGGCGCAGCCCATGCCTTAGCGACCTCGTTGTGCAGGTCGGGGAGAAATGGGGCTCGCTTCCTCAGAGCGGCAGCTCGAGTGGAGGAACCACGACTCCAGCTTGCTCTTAGCTGGTTCGTCGGGGGATTCCCACTCCAGACCTAGATCGCTCACGGCCCTGGTGAGAATCCGGAGTGAAACTGAAATGCGGTGTGTCCCTCCACTTCAGAGCGCTCTTTCGGCGTGTAGGCCCAGTCCTTCTCGGACGCCGTCAGAGACATAACCTCGTCGAGAACGCCGTCATCCCCCGCCGTGCCGAATGAAATGACCTCCGAAGCACCAGGGGTGGGTCGAAGGCTCTCTTCTGCAAAAAACACCGGAGAGCAGGGGGTGAAACTTGCTTTTCAGCGCGATCACCCACGTGTGGCTGCGGTCCCACCAGAGGCTCGCTGGCGGCAGTGGGACATTACCGAGAGAAATCACAGAGGGCGATGTTCCTCCGGGTCCTAAGCACCCGCACTGAGAATTCCTCGTAGTGCGGGCAGCCCGACCCTGTGACTGCTACCTCCGCATGGGCGAGGCACAGGACGTAGAATTTGTGGGTGTCTGGGGCCTTGATAGGCCCTGAACACAGCGTGGGCCCAGTCCTTCTCGGACGCCGTCAGAGACATAACCTCGTCGAGAACGCCGTCATCCCCCGCCGTGCCGAATGAAATGACCTCCGAAGCACCAGGGGTGGGTCGAAGGCTCTCTTCTGCAAAAAACACCGGAGAGCAGGGGGGTGAAACTTGCTTTTCAGCGCGATCACCCACGTGTGGCTGCGGTCCCACCAGAGGCTCGCTGGCGGCAGTGGGACATTACCGAGAGAAATCACAGAGGGCGATGTTCCTCCGGGTCCTAAGCACCCGCACTGAGAATTCCTCGTAGTGCGGGCAGCCCGACCCTGTGAATGCTACCTCCGCATGGGCGAGGCACAGGACGTAGAATTTGTGGGTGTCTGGGGCCTTGATAGGCCCTGAACACAGCGTGCAAGCTTTCGACATGCTGGAACACCGAGAGGGAAATCCTTCTTCTTGTGTCTTCTCCACAGCTGTCTTGAGTAGGAATTTGCATGAAAGAGGAAGATTCTGGGCATTATATAGCAGCGGGGCTCCGCCTCTATTTGCCGTCTTAGCTGGCATTGGCCAGTGAGAGTTGCAACTTCACTGGCATTGTGCAATAAGATTTCAGGTAGGTTTAGGAAGGTTCTGATGCCATGTAGAGAGACCATTCTCGAGAGGGAACTGCCGTTCTACTCCTGTTAGGATAACTTAAAATAGGACTAAGCAGTGGCCTAGAAATTTAAGAAAATTGTAGGTTGTTCTCTAATTTTGATCTCCACTGTATATCACCAATACAACAAAAAGTGATAGTAAAAACTTTAATATCACCCAATAACCAATATTGTTGTTTAATTATGTGCAAAATGCCCGAGTAGCAGAATAGTGGAAATATAGTAATTTACATAGTTTTAAACTCTATCTGTTTACCAAAACTAGCAAAAAGAAAAATTAAGTTGATTACCTTTTCAGGTATCTGGCATCCTTGAGGCACATCTATTAAATATGATTTAAGAAGATTTTCTGTTAATAAACAGTGCAAAGACTTGGAAAGCAACCCCTCTGAATGCAGTTATCACCAGTGTTGGGGAAAGTTACTTTTAAAAGTAATGCATTACAATATTGCATTACTCCCTAAAAAAGTAACTAATTAAGTTACTTTTGAGTTACTTTTTAAATCTGGGCAGGGCTTGCTTGTTTGTTTTTAATAAAAAAAAGTTCTTCTTTTACAAATGTAAAAGCCCTTTTCACAACAGAAGTGAAATGAATACACCTCAGGCTGAAGGAAATGTATATTCACGTCTGTACAGTAGAGGGCGCAGCTCAAACAAATTGCATGAAGAATATGACGCAGGAGCACTATTCAGCAATAACAAAAATGAAACAAATGTGTAATTTTAGCTGATTAGTATGGTTGAATTAGATAATCGACGGTCAATAGCAAAGACATTGGTTAATAAAATGGGATTAAATGCATAACTGATATTTGTCTTAACATATTTAATTATTGCAGGTTTATATAATATTCTGAGTTTGCATTTGACTGTTTTTATTCATTTTGAGGAATACTGAATCTGTTTTTGTGCAGTGAGAAGAGTAAATAATGTTCATATTTAGTCTAGAACTACAGTAGCATCACAGCGCACATAACGCCTCTGCATTTACTCCCGATTTCCCTCAACATGGCAACACGAGAGCTGTCAGTCAAGACATGGGAAACAAAGTAACTAGCGTTACTCATTTGAAAAAGTAACTCAGATATTTCCTTCTAAATTAAAACGTAATAAGTTACTTTACTAGTTACTTGGAAAAAAAGTAATCTGATTATGTAACTTGCGTTACCCCCAACACTGGTTATCACAGATCTATTCACTGAAAACAGGTGCACTAACCTCATAAGTGGTGAGAAGGACATGGAAGTGTTGGTTATTCCTGAGCTCTTTCTGGAGCTCTGCCCTTTTTTCTTTATCCCCAGTGTAATAGATCACAGACAGAATGGGACAGAAGCTGAATTTAAAAAAATAGAGAACCTTAACTAATCTTTCATGTTCATTTGGATTCAAGGTAGATACTAATCCAGCGTTTATATGCTACTGTCTCCATCTAGTGACAGTGACAACACATTGTCTTTATTTAAAATCAGTTCATGCTGGAATATTCATACATTCATAAAGTGACAAACAGTTTCACAGTCCTGTATCAGTAATAAATCAACATATCTTTAATATGCAATCTAAACTGACAACACAAGTCTAATCGTATACCAGCATTACCCTTACCGCTCTAACTCCTGTCTCCAGTTCTCCAAAACAGATAAGGGACAAAGCACAAGGAACGGTCCGTTCATCTTAAGGCATCCCCGAGCATATGCCAGCAAAGAAATGGTCTACAGCAGAGGATGAAATCTCACTTATCTGATATCTTGGAATAAATCTCTGACTTAAAAGCAAGTATTATAAGCAAGATAAACCCATTCCATTACTAACCTGGCAGGTCTTGCCCAGACCCATCTCATCACCAAGGATGCAGCCCTGCTGGTTCTTCATACACTGTGACAGCCACCTCACTCCATCCACCTGATAAGACCTCAGATGAATTGCTGTAAGGAAGGAGATAAAGGATTGCAGTGTTGTTCCTAAGAACACTTTGAGAGTATTTCAATCCATAAAGTGGGCCTTTAAAAACTTTTTTTTTTCACTGGTTTCACAAATTAATATTCCATATGAAAAGCCAAGCTTGTCCAAAAATGTTGTATCATGAAATAGATGCCATTTCGCTCTAAAAGTGAACTTAAAAGACTAATCTCGAAACATACGTAATGAAAAGCATCATTTCAGACAAGTATTCAGTTTTATTAGTGCTCATTTGCGACAAAGCCACTTTATTTAATCTATGAACGCAGTCCATTATAATAATAATAATTTAATTTGTGAAACATTTTCATGCTAAAAAAATCTTAAATGATATACAAATACTTTGCTGATTTTAAATGTCACAAGACGCTCTCAATTCACACACCTTCTAATCCCCATTTTTTCAGGTCGCTCTCCGTTAATTCCGATTTGTCCTTTTCTGGTATGTTGCTTTTGATTGCTCGAAGAAATTTGGACATTTTTGTGGTTTTATTATGTTTACCTCAACCTTTAGACACTTTATTCAGTCGAGTATTTAAGTTAATAGCTTGCCTGCGCCAGAGTTTGACGTGAACTTCGGCATGACTACTTCCTGCAAGTGAGTGGGCGGGTCCCAGGACAGAGGTCGTCCAATGACTAGTCGGCGATGCAGACACGTACTTTAAAGGCGCCATTCTTAAAGGGGTCATATGATGCGATTTCAAGTTTTCCTTTCTCTTTGGAGTGTTACAAGCTGATTGTGCATAGATAAGATCCCTGAAGTTGCAAAGATTAAAGTCTCAAAACCAAAGAGATATTCTTTATCAAAGACTCTGCCA